TTCAAAGGTTATGAACATTTTTGCCCTGGCCAGGTAGCTCAGTTAGTTGGTTGGAGCATTGTCCCGATACACCAAGGTTTTGGATTTGATCCCCAGTCAGTCAGTGAATGAATAGATGAGTGGAATAATAAATCGATGTTTCTTTCTCTTTCACTCCCTCCCTAAAATTCAATTTTTAAAATGTTATGAACATTTTAATGCTCTTTTTATACTTGTCAAATGGCTTTTCAGATAGGCTGTATGAATCAATTGCATATTCTTAAACTGCATCCCGAAGCCTGTCTCATCACATTCTCACTAGCTTTACATATTTTCACTCGTAAGCATCTTTGCAGTAGCATCTCAATTTATTTGGTGGTTTTGATTGTGAAGATTGATTGTTTAAATATACTTATTAGCTATTAGCTATTTTTTTTTACTTCTTCTTCTGAATTGTATTTAGGACTTTTGTCTATTTTCATATGAGCTTTTAAAATATTTTAGGAACCAGCTGGCATTTTTTCCCCAGGGAATCATCAATCACTCTTAAATAAATAAATCTCTGTTGCTACTCATTCTTGGGCAAACTCAAGTTGCCCATATGAGAGAAAGTAATGGCCCAATTACTATTCACTGTCTACAACTCAGTCCCTCTGAGTTTAGATGTGGAGGCAACCTTTTATGTTCTGCCTAGTGTGTGTGCCCTCCGATGTAGGACAAGATTCACCGGCTGGTGGGTACACAGGTTTCTTGTCTCTCAATGTTAACTGCTTTGAAGGATGACAATCTCTTTGGGGTGATTCCTGAGTCACCATAATGAATTTCTTAAATACAATGAAGCCTAGGTTTTAAGTTAGCATCACAAACTTATTAAACTGTAATAGAAATTGGTCCTGGTTTTAGGTGATGACCTTTGTTGTCATAGTTGTGGCTCTAATACTGGTCATTACAGTTAACTGTATTTGTCATAATTGTGGCTACTTCCCCCAGTGTGTATATATGGAAGCTTTTATCTTTTTTGTTAGTCACAGTTACTGAATTTTTTTATTTAGTTTTCTTCCATTAGAAAGTCTTCCTCAAAATACTCAGTAATCATTATGGAAACTGTTCACAACCGTTGTGCCTCATCGATGGATGTATAAGAACCACTGTTCAATGATGAAAAGATTTTTATCTAAACCTACTAAGAGCGGGGGAAAACCCTCTGAAGCATTTCCTTGTATTGGGGAGCTTACAGAAGAATGAAATTCATGTGTGACTGACAGAGGAGTCAGTATTTTCACAGCTTCATGTAATTTGTGAGGCTGCCTGATATCTTGGTTCAAAATAATCTATCCTGTTTCTGATTCTAATAGCAGTAATCTACAGCTGGATGTTAGGAGTATTTCCATAAGGCACTGCTCACCTTTCTCTGTAGAAGAGTTGATAGGTTATCCTGTTGGACTATTTCCACATGTGTGCAAGTCAATGTAATTATGTTGGTTAGAGTGTGGTTTTGATAATACCTTTCTAACTCTGTTCATTTTGATGATAATCTTGTTTTGTCAGTGGTATTTTACTCATCTTCCTTTCATCCCAGGAATATAATCTTTTCTAACGGCATCTCGTAACTTTCTAGTGAAAGATGACTATCGCATCTTCTTCCTATAAATGTAGAAACTGAGAATCACCAGTGTAATATTGCACCAGACACCTCTGTCCCAAGACAGTGCTCCCTACCAGGTTTGCTTCCTCCCGGAGAAGGCCTTTCTCTGTGAAATCACATTGCTTTGCCTTAAAAGCTAGTTGTCTTCTTGCATTCACACAACAGTGCTGAAGAGATCTGCTCTGTAGGTCAGATTCTCTTCGATCTTGGAGATTCACTCAATAGTGATTTGTCAAGGCACCTGCATTCTTAAAGCACTCAGGACAAAGATACGCATAATTTGTCATCAGCGTTGGACATACCTGGAGGCTGACAATCTCCTAACAAAACTCAGATCTTTTCTGCTGATCTTGGGGAATGTATTTTCCAAGTCTTCTCTTGAGAACTAAAAAGCAAGAAAGTTAAATCCATGAGTTGAATTAGTCTTTGGGTGACTGGCATCAAACTTGCCTTTAAATGTTTTCTGTATAGGTGAATATTCTTGAAAAAATGTGCAACCATCTAATGCAAGTCTCGAAGTCGTTCTCTGAGTCTAATCTACCCACAGATGTAAAGAAGTTAAGTGAAAACATAAGTTAACATGCTTGTATAGTAAGTGTGTTATTTTCAAATATATAAATAAAAACAGGGATATATACTTTTGTTAAATCTTAGCAGAGAGCAGAAGAAAATATGTGCAAGACTCTTTTTATACCCTTTGTTAGAATATGTTTTAATATTCTTTTATTACTTTGAGTTGGGCTTAAAGTCAAAACAACCTACTATGGACCACAAAATATTTTCAGTTAATTTAGGCCTATTCATGGTCAAATATTGGCTAAATGTCTTAATTCTTTGGTATTTGCAATATATCTTACATGAGAAATGGGGCTGACCAAGAACAAAACCAAGCAATGAGCCAATAGCACAAAGATATCATTCAAAAGAGATTGCTGAGGAAAGTTTTACGGTTATAATTAGGTCTCCCAGAACATCTCTAGTTGGAACAGGTATCATATGACTTATTGCCAATAGAATAATTGTACAATTTGAGAAATTATTTTATATAAGTTTTCAGAAGCATTGCTGAATTTTTGGCTACAATATGAACAGTTTTATGCAAATACTGAATAACTTCTCTATCACACACAATATTATATCAGCCAGCAAATCCAAAGACCATTTGATATTGACAATTGCATCAGAATAATATAGTAGGTAAATGACATGAAATTGACCCTCTCTTAAAATGAGTTTCCAGTAATTTAGCTTAGATTTGCTGTTAGTGAAAGTAGTGTACATTTGATTCCCAACTAAATCATTTATATGAAGAATTCAAATGGTGACTGTGAAAAGCTTTAAATAACATATTCAGTATATTTTTATCTTAACAGAATACATTTTAAAATCAAGGAATGTTGGCATTATTTCCCATTCACTGGATTTCAATTTGCTTTTAAAGAAACCTCCAGCCTTTACAGAAATGAAATTTAAACTGAACTTTTCAATGTAGTCAGCAATGACTTAAAGGATTTTCTGTTTAGATAAATATAGATCTAAGAAAAACCTTCATATAACTTTATCATTGAAGCTTCTTTTTAAACATTCTATTTAATGTTAAATATTTCATCTCTCTGCCCTCATTAGTGTGTCTCATCATCAGATATGGTGTTATTAAATAGTTGTAACTTTACAGGTTTTTTTTTTATTAATGCTGGCTTGGACTAAAGCTTCATTGGGTAGGATTAACTATATTTAAAGATGGCAAAATGCCATTATAACATTAATGCCAGAATTTAATGAGAACCAGAAGTTAACTTCAAGGACCTTCATAATTTAATATGAGGGCATGATCATATTCTGATTATTTTACTACAGTGTCCTATTAAAGTAAGCTACTGTTTTTCTAATCTTTTTTTCTTTTGGTAAAAATTTTACTCAGCAAACACTTATTAAGTATCCACTATGTGGCAACCATGTGCTATAGTCTTATCAGTGGGACTATTTTCCATCCTCAAATAGAATAAAGCCTTTCTGATCAAAAAGAGCATAAATGAGAAACACCTCCCTTATGCAGGACTCTCATGGCCTCTCGATCTAGAATGTCTGGTTTCCTAAGGCATGCATCTACCTCTCCAACCTCTGGTCTGTTTCTTCTTCATTTCTCACATCGGTCATCTATGTCCCTGACATGAAAAGGTCTGGGAAGGTTGGAGAGCATGGATTACAACTGGATGTCCTAGTTGTGGTACTGATTACTATGGTGTCTCACAGGAAAAGCTTTTGTAGAACTACACAATAAAACTGGACATAGGGCAGGGAGGCGAGCTGGCTGTAGGATTCGTTGTCTTTTGAGGAAAAAAACTTTCCTGTACCGAAGATGTATAGTGATGCCTCACTTTCTGTAAAATGCAAGTGAACTTTAAAGCTATTTCCTGCTTAAAAATGATCCCTGTGTGTTTAGAACTCAAAGAGATCAATAGACCTAAAGTGAATGTTCCTTATTATTTTTTTCATAATCTTATGTACATATACTTGCAAAGAAATGCTGAGACCTTCTAAAGACCGTGATGCATAACCACAATATGTAAGAAGTGAAATACAGCAGAGGCAAAGGGAAAACTGCACCCCCAAACTCCAACTATTTAGCTTGTGCTCCAAGCTTCCTAGTGACTAGGGCAAAGAGAACAAACAGGATCACATGGTGTGATTTTCTGCTTGTAAGATATATTCCACCAGTTATTCAGGAACAAGCATTTTTCTTGCTCTCAATAAGAACAACTGGTCTAGGCGATTTTTTTTATAAGAAGCCATAAGCTGCATCATGAATGATGGCCTCATAAATTTTTATAGAAAATAAAGTATTCCACATATGTCATATCATATATTGGCCTTTGGAGAACACAGAGGGAATAATGTTAAAAGCAAGACGTTTGTTTCTCCTGTGGGGCAGGGCAAGGGGGGTTTGAAACTTCTGGTATATTTACTGTAGATAGATGCTTATTTTCTTTTGACCCACTGACATGTGGAGCAGGAGAAAGATGTAAAGATGTCTAGTAAAGGGTAGCATTGTTAAAAGTAGGAGGGGATAAGTGAAATTTTTGTGGCAGGATGATATTTGCAAGACTGATCAGGCTGCTGGGAGGTGTTTAAATATGCCAGTTCCCTGTAACAGGAAGATCAGTCTCTGGTTTAGACAGCATATCCAATTTAGTAAATTATTATTATTCCGTCAAAATTAATGTGAACAATTTTCTCTTTGAGGCTGCTTTTTCCATAGGTGATGTTTTCCAGATGGGCTTTGTGTAAAACTCTTAATGTTTTATGTTTTCTTTCCTAGAAAAAGAGCCTTTTCTCTCACGTCTTTATTTCTCTCTCTCTCCCCCCGCCATTGTAGGGAAGAGAGGGCCCAAGGCGAAGGAGAAGAAGAACAAGAAGAAGAAGAGGAAGCTGACCGAAAGAGCCCAGGAGCAGCACAGTGTCTTCCTCGCTACGGACAGGGCAAACCAGTAAAATCAGAGACACGTCGGGTGGATTGTGGGGTTTTTTTGTTTGTTTTTTGCAAAAGTGCACAAAGCTACTCTCCACTCCCAGACACTGGTGCGCGGTGTTTGTGCTGCTCTGACCGGTATCCGTTCCCAGTGACATTGTGAAAGGAGGAGCCCCGATGGCCTCTGTTATTTATGCTTTGATTTGCAGCTGGAGACTGTGAAGGTGGGAGCTCGTGCCCTGAATCGGAGCAAGGAGTGAGTGTACAGCACGGGCCTGGGCTCGGTGTGCACCACCACCAAGTGTGAGGCTGCAGACCCCCACTGGAGAACGGACTCGTGCATATTTATGGGAAGGAAGATGCTCAACAGGCAAAGTGCTATTTCACTTGTGCCCTCTATTTCTCACATTGTGCACTGTCAAGGAAACATGTATGTGGATATCTGCTTAATGTTACCACATGTTCTCGGCATCTGTTCCTTTCCAAGCTGTTGCGGGATGGAACTGTTCTGAGCTGGGGATATGCTGCAGGAATTCCTGCTCAGTTTCACAGCGGCTCTGATATGTACATATTCCGCTGGGGCTATGCATAAACCTCTTATTTACTGTATATTTATGCTCTCTTATGTGTAACAAGTCATGCCTGATTAATAGATGTCACTTTGTTTTTTAGTGGTTCCTAACTGTTGTCCAGTAAATGGCTGTTCTAGTTTTGAGAATTGACAAATGTTTTGTTGCCCCTTGAACCTTACCTTTTCTTTTCTTTGTGGGCTTATTTCTCACTGTAAGGATAGGATAAGCTAGTTTGTACATAGGGTCAAATGATCGGTGTCAAAGAATGTGAGGATCTCCTCACAAGATAAAGCAGCATCTGGCAGTCAGAAACGAGAAGTCCCTTTGAGTCTAAGAAGGGATGACATCATGAAACACACCTGAAACACGAGGAATTACAAGCAGCCATTCCTAGTACTCGTCATGCAACTTCACAGGCCAGCTAGAGAACCTTGCAAACTTCAGTATGTGTCTATGCATCATTTAAAGCAGCCCCTGACTTACAGTGACAGGGCACCTACCAGTATTCTTGGGTCACTGTAGGAGTGACCCTCATGAGACTATGCTTTGGATCTGAGGAGAAAACAAGATAAATTCCTACAACTGCAGGTCAGATCTTAACAGGTCCCCATGGAGCCAGAATGTACCGTATTTGCCGGCGTATAAGACGACTGGGCGTATAAGACGACCCTCTAACATTTCCACTCAAAATACAGAGTTTGTTATATACTCGCCGTATAAGACTACCCCCTCTTCCGCACACCTTCCACACACCAAATAAAAGGTAAAACAATATCAGATTTGATTTTAACATTTTAATTTATATTCAAATGCTTATGACATGCAGGAAAACTGTCACAAGGCTGTATGTAATCAAACATATACATAAAACAGTGCAAGTTTATTACCGGTAAACATACCGGTAATTCACTAAAGAAAACACACTCTATAGACTGGTACCATAGATGCTTCTCAGGAACACAGGCAAGCAGCCCACAACCTAGAGGGACTGTCAATGATAGAAGTAAGAT